ATGGGGCGCGTTGAAATCACCCAAGACAAGACAATGTCCATCGCAGGCGTACCTCTGTAGGCTGCCCAGCAGCTCTGGGACGTACATAGCTGGTGTACGGTAAATCACTACAACTGTGGTATACCCTCCGGCACAAAGCTTAATTCTGCACCACAGGGCTTTTTCAAATCCTTCCGGATAGGTGTAATTCTCCAGCACTCTAACAGGGAGATCCGAGCGGACAAAAATAACAATTTCACCACCGCGACGTGACGATGATCGATCCGTTCGAAACTCTTTATCCGTGGGGTGATATTTCGGAGTCCCAGACATCCGGTGTCGGCCAGGTCTCAGTGATTGCAAAAAGATCGGGATTGTGGGATACAACCCAGTCCTCCAGCTCATTCCTTTTCCCCAGTATCCCTCGAGTATTGGTTGAGGCTAGCACAGCGTGGTTACCTCGCCATTCACGCCTCAAGCTAATCCCCTNNNCCGTGGTTAAACAGTCTCCTGGGTCCTTCCCCTGACCAAGGGCAGCCAACGCAACTGAGGGCGCTTCCGATGCACACGAAAATCCCGTGTACACAGATCAGTTTCCCCTTTTGCACGGTGCTCCCTGAGTTCTTCTAATGCAGTTTTCAATTTGCTGCACTGGTCGGGATTAAGATCCGTGAGGAATCGCGCCGGAGTTCCCTTCAGCTTGTGGGTCCGCTGGATTATCACTTTGGCCTCACTTTCTGCTCGAAGAACCACTTTCAGTGGTCGTGGAGAATTATCCTGGCGGGGTTTTCCAACCCTAAATGCCGCTTTTACTCTGATCGATGCCGCTGGTTCCACCTCGTCACCATCAAACAAGGTAACCATGTGCGGCCTCAGCAGCTGCAGATCGCGGTCCAGGCGATCCTGGGCAGCGGTGGCCTAGGCCTCCGGANATCTCGGAGGGAGCTTCCTCTGGTGCATAGGTTCCTTCGAATCGCGGGAGCAACTCTCAACTGTCCGTGATATGTTACACGCACCGTGCCTGGACGTCGTGGACAAAGGAGTCGAGTCTGTCCGTGAGGGCGATGCAGCAGACGAAATCCCTGCCCTTTTTTCGGGTGCTTTTGCTGTGATGCAGCTGCAGGAGCTGCTTTTCTAAGTGGAGTGGAAATGACATCTGCATACGAAGGGGCAACTTCCACAAGAGTGGCCGGAGTTATGGGGGTTATAGAGTTTTTTGGCAGTGGCGAGCTGGCAGGCAGAGCTGTTATCCTTGAAGAAGCAGATAAAGGAGGTCACTGGGTATGTGTGGACTTCGAGGTAGCAGGGGCTTCAATGTTGCTTTTGTCGTCGCGCTCAGTTCAGCCGTGTGCATCCACTTGTGACCACTTGTGTCTGGCATTTTGGTCTTTTGCTAGGTTTCCGGATCGGGCTCGGGCTGTCAAATGGAAACTTAACATAAGTTGGTTGTACAAGAACTATCGTATTCGTGGTGAAATTCGAAGCCACATGTTGCTAAATTGGATGTTCTGCAGAAGAGCTGCTGTGTTTTAAAGTACATACAGAACTTGGCGGACATTGTTGTGCATTACTACCCAATGAAACCAATCGCTTAGAAATCAAAATGGAAGCCTTTTATCTCCATGTCCCATGCTAGTTGCATGGAATCCTTAAATGAACCGTGTGACTGCAACCAAGGGGGGGAGGATTACTAATTCTTCAAGTTGGCTGCAGCACAGCGCCACGGTTTGTCGCTATTTGCTGCATGTTCCTCCTTTATGATCTCCATCACAGACTAAGACATTTGAAAATAGTGTCTTTTCCGATTTAGAGATGCCAGGGGAGAACATCCTTACCTTAGATATGGAATCATTATACTTGCAACATGTTTTGCTTACTTTTCTGTGAAACGCTGCATATATCTGATGCAGGCTTTGAACCCAGTCTAATGCAATTCGGCCGCTCAGTGCAAGGCTTTCGCCTGGATATTGGACCTACACGCCCGAATGTTCTCACATTTCGCCGGCAGGCAGCCGTTTTCTGACTGCATCGTTTCTCTCCATCTGCATGGTATACGGTAAAATGATAAGAATGAAGAGACTAAAGGTCGCGAGACAACCCGAGTTAAGACAACAGGGGGTCTTACCCGGCCGACAATCGGCTTATGTATGACTGAATGTGTACGAAACTGTACAACCTCAAAAGGGTTTTTAGCATACTGCTACCCTGTTTTTCATCATTCAAGCATCAACGTATCCAACAGTGGGTTCCTGAGGACTGCATGCCTTGAATGCAGTGGTAGGGGGTGCATACATGTTATTTGATTTCATTGCAAGTTCTTGGAATGGAGCGGCAATATTATGAACCTTTGCTGTGTTTTTCAAACCTCTGAGTGATACTTCTATTCACAATTCTACATGAAACGCTACGGTTGAATAATCGTTACTGGGATAATAAATCCGTAGTTTCACAAGTGGTAACCTCAAAGTGATTGAGCTCATCTAAACGTGAAGGATTTACCGGTTTTTCTGCAGTTTTATTTGTCTACAGATAAATCCATTCATTCTGAATGAGCTTGTAGGGAAAAAGATCAAATTCGACATGTGGTTGTTTTGAAATGCATTACTTCTCAATCCCCAGAATGTTAAACATTTAAATGGAGATAACATGTAGTCCATTCTTAATCATATTTTCCTTTTGCCATGATTTCGCCCTGATAGATGCGATGCGGATTTAGCATCTTAATAACCAGTATTTAAAATTATATTTATTGTATCACCTGGTGATATACATGGTCTTTATAAAAACCCCAGTGGAAAGTCGTTAAACCATCCCAATAAATTTTACTGACATTTAAAGTGTGAATGCTGCCACTAAGGCAAGAAACTTCCATGGTAGCTCTCAATTGCGGACACATGCTCACCACCGGTTAAATCTTAAACAGCACGACTAATTTCCCCTTATTCCGACGATGTGTTATCATACACGGTCTCTTCCACTCCACAAGTAACCATACCAGCCAATGGCCCTTGACGTTTTTGTGTCCTGCGGTGTGATCGTTCTTTTTCTCAGTGTCTCGCACTTTTGATAGAAGTTATTCTTTTTCGTTCTCATTATTACCTCGTTTCATTCTCCGTAACGCTCCCGGTCGTAAACAGAACGAGAAACTAACTCGTGGAGTGAAGTCTAATCTGCAGTAAACAAAATGGACAGTGATATAAGCACATCTTTCATAGATTTATAGAGTCAGCAATAAATTCATCATTTGTAAGAAACGCGAGACCAAGGTGGTAGAAAAGTATAACCCTAACAGCAATTGTGAACCGTTGCCCAGGGAAGGGTAGTTTTATAGACAAGTGCAGAACATTACCAAACGCAAAGAAACTTGGTAGAATATAAAAACATAAAATTATTGGATCTAATTTTAGTCGCTTTTAAGCGCCACATCAAGCAGCGTAGTTATAAGAGCCGAAAGGAGAATAGTTGATAATAAAGAGGCCGGATTCTAATTCTATGGTATAACTATTCGAATCAAATTCCAGGGTCGTAAAATTTTATCTGTTTTTTGTGATTAGTGCCACCGTCTATGTGCTAGAATCTTGTGGCTCAGGTTACGTCAATATCCCTCTTTAGATTGTGATTTCGTCAATAGATTTACACTGAAAACTATCGTAAAGAACGCAATAGCTCAGATTCATTCAAGTGATGTGCTCACATTCACTTTTAATTTTGGAAGTACAATCAAATTTGTGAATCAATTTCTCGACAGTATTTGATCTCTTTTTGATCGAACTCCGGATCTTCCTTGCAGTAGACTTTACCCAACAACTTTTGCAAAATGCCATTTTTTTGAAAGTGAGTATCTGCATATACATCCATCCATCGCTCACAACCGCTCCTTGTCTCCCTCACTCCCACTCTTTGAACTAGCAAACCAGAAATTACACCCAATTTGGTTGAAGTTTCCATTTTGCTGTATCACACTGAAGGGCTACTCTAGTTCGGTTTACTTTACTCCTAATAGCAGTGATCCCAATTTTGTTAGTCTTCTACTTGCAACTAATGATCGTTTAATGGAAGTTGATTCCAACTGCCAACTCACTAACATGGATATTCAAAGTCCACAACAGACCAGTCATTGAACTAACCTGTTCCCTTTCGAGCTCAAAATAAATCCATTTTCTATGGCTAATAGCCGAAGCTAATGGAATAATTTTGGCGCTATTTGACTCCAATCGTAATGCGGACCATGTTTAAGCCTCCCAAATTGATTTACCCTTCACTCATTATCCTTTAACCTCTTGGCTCCTTGGAACATCTTCTAATCAAACGAAACATTTTGAATTTATTTCATGTAGCACTTGTCTGGTTCCTCAACCTTAAAACAACGTTTATTTCACCTCATTGCCTCTCTGTTACTGCTTTGAGTTTGTCAGTATATTTTTGGCCTAAAATTATTCGTTTTTATTCTCAAATGTATCCTAGCGTGAATGAATGATTCAATCACCTTCGTTGACATTCTGTTCTTATAAGGGGTGGCGCATCCCCCATATTGCCACTTTTCCCCCAAACTCATCTCCATTTGGATTCCGCACTATGCAGATAATGCAGAACGAGAGGGAACGTTCTTTTTGTCCTGAGGTATAAACCTAGTTTTCTCTGCCACCGCCAGACACAACTTTGTAAAAAGGCAGAATCGACGATTGTCAGTTTTTTCCACATTCCTTTACAATTTGAACACCTTCAGCGTCCTGGTTTCTGAAATTAATGCTGAAGATATTCATATAACCGGATATAACTCTTTTTAAGTCATCTATTCAGTGAGGCACACTGATTCGTCACGAGTAAACTCTGCTTCCAAATTATTTTTTATCCATGCCAATGGGAGATTGTAGAGAGCATAAGCTGAGGTTCCTCTGCAGCAGTTAAACATATTCCCGGTAAGTGGTTGGTTCACACACGCACAAACAAACATAGGAGTAAGCGCACGCATTTTGTGTTCTTAGTTGAAAACCGTGTTTTTTTAAGGCAGAACACTATGACAAGATATCCTAAAACAATAATGAGTCTCATGGTTATCCAGACTGCCCCTGATATCGTCTCAGATAAAACCCAAGAACTTGTTTTTTCTTCTCACGGGTTGTAATTTAGAGTCATTATTTGTTATTATTTTTTATGTTCTACATTACGCTTGTCCAAAGGAGTACTTGGATTTCGTATTGGTTTTGCCTGTTGCGTGATCTCATCCTGTGTGCGTTGGGTTGTTGCAACCATGTGTAGCCGATATATGTGTTTCTATACTGATGAAGTTATATTTGTGGTGAAACAAATTAAGAAATGATCGACAAAGCTCACTGGAGTCGTTTTTGAATAGTATTTTCGGACATATTTCCTGGTTTAGAAATCCTTTACCACTGAGCTATACGGCCCACGACGTACACGTTCAGTACACAGGTACAATAATTTGATTGAATTGCTTTCGTTCTTTCGTAACGTGTTTCACAGAATCTTAATCGTCTTTTTCACAAAACTGAATTCCCAAATAAACTTGATATACATGTTCGATAATTTTTAATTGACGAAATTACCGCCTGACATAAATTATATTGCAAATTTATACGATTTTACTCAAAGAGGAAAGGAAAAGAAAAATGGATAGCGAGATTTTATTACAATCTTACGAAAAATCACTCGGATTCGGAGATGATGTGGATGATTGGTTTTATGAAAAAGATGAAGGAATTTCTTCAAACCCAGCCATTCGGTACGTGGATTACCGGATTTCAGTATTAACAATGATTCCAGCACCGATGTTTTCTTATCATCCCAATTTGTACAACAAGACTGAATCATCAAGGAAGGAAAAATTTATGAAGCTTTCAATTTGATAACTGAAACAACTGTGAGTCGGCGATTTTTGCAATCTCTAGTATTAACTTACCTGCCAAATTGTTTGCCAACTATACAGTGCCAAGCCGGATAGAATTTCCTGTCAAAATATTGCTTGACATAACCTGCTACGTCGATTGGTTGTTGAAATCGATCCAGCGCGTACGAGGCCACGTGAATGGCTTGGGTTTGCATTTCTTTATTCATATCGGTATTGTGTATTGTGATTCGATGATCCATACGCACTGTGTACAACTATCTGTTTCATTTATATGTGAGCAAACAATTTACCGTTTTTCATTTATATACACACATATATGTAGACAGTTCGTTAAATCGGGATTGCCTGTAGGTGTATTCGTCGCGAATTCAAAGGTGGGCTATGCAACGCAGTCGTGAGTCAGGGTGTATATATCTTCGCCGACGAGGTGTCGATCTTCGCATATATTTGATCCAAGTGTTTCGTGCACGTATGCGTCGGATTTTGCTGCAATCGTAAAGGCAAGGTCCTGAGAACACCGAAATAATCGATAAGTATTGGGATACCGTATTTTGCTAGAATCGCGTGATTTCTGTTTTTCTCGGAATAAGGTGCCTTGTTTGTGGGTATCCGTCATTTGCCCCTTGAAATTTCTTGGCTCGTGTATAGTTCAGGGTTTCTATTCACGCTTGAACACCAATAATTCATATTTGTTCTTTGATGAAGATACCCACACACTGCGCTATACATTTCATAAATGCAGCGAAATACTAAACACCGTTTGTTTTGCAACTAACGTTAGATTATTCATGCTCACCGCTACCACGTGAAATAAGTGACCCTTCATGGTGATCAAAGCTACTTTTTCGACTACCAACAGCAATAATCTGGTGCATAGAAGCGTACCGTATTTGTTTACGGATGTGCTTCAATTCACTTTGATAGTACACAGAATACCTACCACCTACAATCGTATGCATCTAAAAAGAATTCTGTTCAACCGCCGTCTTGTGTGCCACATTTTCCACCTATGCTACATTGGTTCACAGAGTTGCGCACTGCAACCCCAGTTTAAGTTGGATGGTTTATAAGCAATAGGAGTGGTGGCATAAACGAGTGCATACGAAAAAACTGAATTTATTTCAATATAAGAAGTAAAATAATAATGGATAATCATCGAGTAAAATGCTATTTATATGCTGGAGATGCGTTTGGATTCTCGCATCTATTGAAAACTCGGTACACCCAATCGAAGAATTTTCAAACACATGGTGATAGGACAAGATATTTATTTGATTTATAAAACTACTTCAGTCAGGTATTTTGGTAAACTAAATCTTTCTAAAGATTTTTGGAATTTAAATGCGATGAAAATGTTTGTGATGACCGGCAAATTCAAACATGTGCTTTCTATTTTATGGAAATTTATCCCCTGAGGCTGAAATCGACTACCTCGATTAATATTTCTTGATCTTTGCTTTGATAACACGAAGGTATTATTGGTACAGATAACTAACGCTTTGGGTTACGGTACATGTTCTGTGATTGCAAAATTGAATAGCCAAGCCTGCTCATCAAGCCCATCTACCTCGGGGGAATATTCGTATCTTAGTTATCTGTTTTTAACACTGCCTACAGGCTCCAAGCGCTTCAGGTCTACTATTAAAGGCAATTGATTCCGAATCTCTTTTATAATATTTTCATGCAAACTGCCGGAAAATTGTACTATATATTGTATAAGATTCCTTCATTTGACGGCAATTTACGAGTTTCAGTTCTACAGTTTTGTCAGCTGATCAGTTTAGAAATCTGCTGAAGGTTTGGTTTAGACCATATTCCTTTTCAAATCTGTAGGCCTCTCTCGTTTTTAAAGCTTTTTACATCGATTGTTAAAACCTACTTAGAATGATGGATGCTTCAGAAGAGTGTCAAATGTCCTCTGATTTGGTGGCATTGAATCACAACGTTTAACCATTTCCTTGATGGAATAACGTACTTTGGATGGTCGATCGTCCGACAGTAAAAATTTAAATTCATCTTTCATATATTCTCCGTCTTTTATTTTATTTTCCTTTATTGAATATAAAATGACACTATTTCCGGCAGAGGGAGGCGGTCAATCAGAGTGCTCTCATGAACACAGAAAACGATGGGTAATGCTTCGAACACACGTCCTTCACAGTGAGAAGTTGCTAACCTTTACCGTTTGAGCGCTTGAGAATAGCGTCAGTTTGCTCGTGTGATAGGCATAACAAGAGAGGTTATCCACAAACGTTTACACTAAATGACAGTTGTAAAAAATATACCAATATATTTTGGTGAATAATGTTCATTGACATTCATACTTTCACACATTTCAAAACTAGTTTTCACATTGTTTTATCTTTAAATTTGAATGCAGTTTATATAGAACCACAACCAAACCGTTCTGACTATGTATGCAAAGATCCTTGTTTGCTTTTGTAGGATAAGTCTAAGTCCAGCTGAGGAGGTATTTATTAGAAAATATACCCCATTAGCTTTGTGGTAGACTTGGATCATTGTTATGCTTTCAGTAAATCTTAACAGGAAGCTAACATTCTGTCTTTCTTAACGTGAGGTTTAACGCTATCTCACTGTCATCAAAGACAACATCAGGAAAACGTACGTGTCTGACTCTGGAATTCCTCGGTGCGGGCTAATTGACACAACTCAAACCCAGTTAGTTCAAAATTTCGCAGGATTTTCCTCTGTGATTTTCCTCCATAGGCGAAACTGATGCGCTTTATTCGATATGATAATCAAAGCTGATGCTTCCCAAATATATCGTCAATTGAATGCACTTCATGTTGGATATTTCGATCAAGTAGGATGAATGCTCTGTCAGAAGCACTAATTACTTCTTGAACAAAAATACACAAAACGGCTGAGAGTTAAAATGGTAATCTGTAGAGGACATGAGATTTCACTAGATTCAATTACCCGAAGATGGATGAAAGTGTGCTTATTGACACATACCTTTGCTTTATTTCGATATTCCTTAATACTGTAACAATAGATGAGTAATAACCAACATTTTACTGAATGATATGATTCTGCAGCAAGCTATTTTAAAGCGGATTTAATGTTTAATATCACGCAACTCTTACTACTAAAACAGTTGCGTTGGCTAACACATCTTGGGATGCTTGACCACTATTCAGTCCCCTCTCCATTGGACCAAGCACAGGACGCCTGCCTATGCCGAAAGGGAACATGGCTGATAGTAGACAACTGAGTTATTATTTATAACATACCACAGCGCCCAGTTGCGGGTATTTTCTTCCATACCTTATTCTCACTAAACTTCCATGTGCGTAATTGGTGGGAAAGTATGTTCAAACGATCTGACACGTCACAAAAAGTCAATTGTCAGTTCTGTCCTCTTTCAATTTAAATACTTAGCAAATTCCACTTCCAAAACCATTGAAGCCACCGGATCTGCTTTCTTCTCCGGCTAGGATTTGTTTCAAAATTCACATTGGGAAAGTTGTGACTAGACTGTGGATGTGTGCTGTTCATGTTCACTCATTTATCACACTTCTCCAGATATGTTCGCATCACTTTCGGGAAACTGTTCACGTAGTTAGTCCAGTTTTCTGTCAACCTGTTGGGGCTGATTTCCACTCCGTTTTAGTGACCAGAAACCCTCTCTCGCCCTCGCCCTCAACATCTGCGTATTCACTCAAGCACATTAACTGCTATATGAGTATTGCAATGTATCTGAAGAATTTTGTCTAAACATTTAACTGAGTACATTATACATATTCAAGTTGTAACCACAAGAATCTTAAAAAGCTATTTTCGTCCACCGTTTTGTTAATTACAAATTTCGATCGAACATTGTTTTACAAAATGACTTATCACAATAATGATTGGTATAGATTCCTTCAGAAAACTATGGTAATTTACCGACATTTGGATGAAAATTCATTTTGTATTTTACTTTATTTGCTTTACTCACTTAGAGTGAGTAGAAAATATACTGGAACCAGTTAGTCAAAGGCTGCCGTTCAGTACAATGAAGCCGGAAATTTAGAAATCAGGAGGATGATTCACACACACTATCTCCGAAGCAATGAGATCGTAACATGCAACACGTTACCAATAGTGCCCACATATGTTTCATATTGTTAGGGTTATTGATGGTCAACAACCTAAACAAGTATGTATCTTGTTTTACTATACCAAGGATACCTGCAAGTTGGATAATCTGATATGATCATACCATTCATATGTTGCTCGCTTTGTGACGGTTGTTCGAAATAACGTGCGTTGGTGAGCCTTACGTACAACTTCCTTGGATTTACACATACACGCATGTCGGGGTTCTCAGAATGTGGACTATAGGCATACTCCAATATCTGACCCACTTACGAATAAGTCGATCCTGGAGCTGAGGAAAACGTAACACAATGATACGGGGTAAAATAGGATAATAACAGTTGCTTTAGACGCAGGATCTAATTAATCTCTCCCAATTGTTGATAAATCGCGTTCAGCAGGTAATTGTTCACGAGCTGGAATTCTATCATGACCCAATTGTATATTGAGTACAGTTAACCGTTCTTCAAACTTCACCTTCAGGTATAATTCCCCGTGTTTGAAATAAAATTTGGACACTGAACCTGCACGGAGGGTCTTATCCTGTGGGATGCTTCAGTTGAAGTTGACCGATTTTACAATGCGCCTGTTTTCAATTGGTCGAGCCCTTAGCGAACTGACTAACGCTGAAGACTAAATATATACAAATGTGAATCGGCAACTTCGGTCAACTCCGTTTCGGAGAGTCGTCATTATGGGAACACTCGCTCCCCCTATACGGGACTCCAGGTGGAAAAGCGGATGTGCGCTACCGAACGGAACTCCAGACTGTGGCTTCTCGAGTGCATTTTTAAGTGAATGAATGGATGCTTATCCATGATCATGAATTTAGCAATAGTGGTTAGTCACAATCACTACTGAATACTAATATTCTAACTCTATGAACTGATACCACGCGTGGCACGTTCAGTGAGCTAAAATTAACAAGGTCACAGAATTCATTTATTTACAATTCAAAATGCAGTACCGATTTATTTTTCGCACATGACTAATTTGTTTTGAATTGCTATTTTCTCGTGATTGTGTTTGACAACGTGGCGAATAATCCTACTATCATCTTTGTCTTTCATCGTGGTTCAACTCGTGCAAACTGTCAAACTACCAACAGATCCCTATGATGCTGTTTGTAATTGGTAGC